CACAAAGAACAAATGTCTTTTATCAGTTTTTAACCAATAACAAAGGGTCTTTTATATGAACAGTGACTGGATATGGAAGGGGTTTGAACACGGCAGGGGCTGAGTATGGCAGAATATGGCAGGGTGACTCAGACAGGGTATGAAGAAGGGCACCAGCTGACTATGGAAGAGGCACCGGCAGCCCCATTTCCTTCAAGACGTCCTCCAGGTGTCCCAAGAAGGTCCTCACGTCGTCGGGGAAAAGGTGACCGATGTTGCCGATTCGGAAGCAGTCGGCGTTGGTCACCTTCCCGGGGTAGATCACCTGGCCTGGGGATTGAAGGGGAAGGCGGGCGGGTTGGAGGCGGGCGGGTTGGAAGGTGTCGGTGTTCGTTTTTCGCATGATCATAATCTCTCTCTCTCTCTCTCTTTCGTTCTCTCTTTCCTTCTTCCGGAATCTCTCTCTCTTTCGTTCTCTCTTTCCTTCTTCCGTAATCTCTCTCTCTCTCTTTCGTTCTCTCCTTTTTTCTGTAATCTCTCTCTCTTTCGTCCTATCCTTCCTCCTGTAATCTCTCTCTCTCTTTCGTTTTCTCCTTTTTTTCTGTAATCTCTCTCTCTCTCTTTCGTTTTCTCTTTTTTCTGTAATCTCTCTCTCTCTTTCGTTCCCTCCTTCTTTCTTCAGTAATCTCTCTCTCTCTCTCTCTCTCTCTTTTTTTCGTTCCTCCGTCTTCTTCCGTAATCTCTCTCTCTCTCTTTCGTTTCCTCCTTCCTTCTTCCGTAGTCTAACTCTCTCTCTCGTTCCCTCCTTCCTTCTTCCCTTTCCCACGCGTAGAAACAAACACAGACAGACAGACAAACACCCGACCCACACACACAGTCACACAACTTATACAATATATATATATATATATATATATATAATATTATATATATATATATATATATATATATATACTATCTATCTTTATTTATGCTGTCCAATGTTATTGTCATTAATCTTGGCATCTATCCTCTCTCTCTCTCTCTGTCTGTCGTCTTTCCTGTCTCTCTTCTCACATCTCTTTCAACACTTATTTTTCTTTATTCTCTTTACTTTATTCTCGCACCTTATTATTATATATATATATATATATATATATATTATATATATATATATATATATATATATATATATATATATATATATATATATTTAAATTCACCGTTTTTTCTTCTCTCTCACTCTCTTTCTCTCACTCACTCTCACTCTCTCTCTCTCTCAAATCCCTTCTTTCCTTCCTTCCCTCCCTTCCCTCTCGTACTCACCCTTGTCCGAAAGCCTGGAATAAAGCTTCGGAAAATCAAAGCGTTCGTGTTGGAGAAAGTGGAACGACGTGATGATGTAACCGGCATCTTCCTCCTTCAGTAGTTCCCTGAAGCCGAGGCGTTTCATCCCCACCCTCAGGATGCTGCGGTTCTCCTGATATCTGGAATTAAATGATATAATAAATAAATAAATAAAGAATCAGTGACATAAAATGGGAGAGAAGAGTAAAATTTAAAGAGAAGTAAAGGTTAAAAGGTATAACGTAAAAGAAAAACTACAATTGATAACTAAAAAAGGAAACTGTAAAATAATAGAATAATCACCGAAGAGGAAAAAGGAAAGAGAAAAAGAAAACAAAATAAAACAACAGACAACCGAAGAGAATCATATACAAACCACAATAACACACGGAAAAGAAGAAAGAGGGGAAAAATAATCAACTACAAGCAACTCAACAGAAAAAAATAGATAGTAGCATCAAAAACGCCAAGAGAGAATACATAAACAGATAACAAAGGAAATGAAAATAAAATTAAAAAATAAACATAAAGATCCCCTGCCTCCTCACCTCTTGGCCCGCCCCTCGAGCCCTCCCGACGAAGCATACTCCCGAAGAGCTTGTCTGAAGGCCAGCATAGCGTGCGTGGCGGGAGTGAAGCGAAACTGACCCGAGCGTTCAAGGGCCGAGTGTTGATCCACCAAGTCCAGGCTCAGCACGCGGCAGTTCCCTGGAGTTATATAAAAGGGCCATCGAGGACCACGTCAAACCAGCGAGAAAGAGTGAGTGGTTCAGAGGCAAAGATATATCTAGATATTTTGTTGACCAGCGAGAAAGAATGAGTGGTTCAGAGGCAGAGGTATTTTGGTGGGCTAACTCAAACCAGCGAGAAAGAGTGAGTGGTCTGAGGCAGAGGTATTTTCATTATATTTTCTTGGTCAGGGTTGCGTCGAACCAACGAGAAAGTGTGAGTGGTCTGAGGCAGAGGTATTTCTAGATATTTTGTTAACCAGTGAGAAAGAGTGAATGGTTTAGAGGTAAAGGTATTTTAAATATATTTTCTTGGTCAGGTCTACGTCAAACCAGCGAGAAAGAGTGAGTGGTCGGAGGCAAAGTTATTACGAGACATTTTCTTGACCAGATTAGCCAGGTAACTTTTCCTCGTTTTGCCCCATTCTTTGGTGCTGGAAGTTTTGTGAACTACTCGTCCAACGAAGTCAGATGAGCACGCCCTCTATATTTAAATTTAATAATTTGTAGTTTGTGATCAGAGAGAGCAACTCACAACCAGCATAAGGCGAGAGTGAAGGCATTTAGATGCAAGGCCACATGAGCAACGTATAAAATGGAATAACGACACGAAATAGATCCATCAGAATCTTGGATTTTGAAGACGGAATTCTAAAAAGAAAGAAATAAAAAACAAGAAAACGACTCTAACCTTTGCAAGAGAGCAGATGCTTGGTCCTGCAGATGGCAAAGGAAAAGCCGGGGACGCCCTCCAGGCACTTGTTGGCAGAAGAGACCACGTAATCGATACCTGATCCGCTAATGTCCAAGGGCACTGCGCCGAAACTGCTCATGGCGTCCACCACCATAGCCGCTCCTGGGAGGGAAACAAGCGTAAATAAATCCCATAATGTTTTAAAGATATTGACTGAAGACTTCAACAGTCCGCAGGTTTGAACAAGAAGATATTGTGAAAAAAACATACATGAGTATTTAAAAAAAAATGATTTGGGAGCAATATCAAATTATTAGTTTCAAAGGAAGTCACGAAAGGTAGTGTAAATAACGCTTGTAGGGGATAGAATATATAGAACGCAAATTCGTGACAAACGCAAGCTAAGAGAGAGAGAGGCAGAGCGAACGGCGTCCAGACAGTACCAGGCTGGAGCGAAGCCACGAGGCGAGCCACGTCTTCGACAGGATTTATGATTCCTGTGGAAGTCTCGCAGTGGACGACCGCCACTGTGGTAAAGGACTCGTTCCGCAAAAGGGCTTCCACCTACAGACAGCACGTGGATTAGGTGGAGTTATTTCAACAGGGACTCTGCTTATGAAGGGGTTCTCTGTCTCTTTCACACACACGTGCATGTTTGTTTGTATATGTTCATACTTTCACATTCACACCATCATGATCTTCCACGGTTTGCTCGAGTACGTGAGCGCCTCCGTACCTTGGCCAAGTCGAGGCGCTGATCCTCAGGAAATTCCTCCAGTCGCACCTCCAACCCCGCCCACGCGCACATCTGGCCCATGCGACGCCCATAAGCCCCGTTGGCCAAGACCAACACCTAGGATAAAGTTAATATGTTAATAGGATCGCCCTTCCTTTAGCTCTAGCCGATTTGCGAATAGCTTCCTGATTTTGTTCTGAATTGCAAGGAACACAGAATGCCTGGGACTCTAACACAACTTAATCCTACATTTACTCATTTGAACTCTAACACCACTTAATCCTACATCTACTCCCTTGAACTCTATTAATCCTACATTACTCCCCTCTAACTTAATCCTACATTTACTCTTTTGAACTCTAACACCACTTAATCTACATCTTGTATTCTAACACCACTTAATCCTACATTTACTCTCTTGAATCCTAACACCACTTAACCCTACATTTACTCCTTGAACTCTAACACCACTTGGTTTCCTACATTTCCCATGAACTCTAACAGAACTTAATCCTACATTTACTCCCTTGAACTCTAACACCACTTAACCCTACATCTACTCCCTTGTATTCTAACACCACTTAACCCTACATTTACTCCCTTGAACTCTAACACCACTTAATCCTACATCATTCTAACACCACTTAATCCTACATTTACTCCCTTGAATTCTAACACCACTTAACCCTACATTTACTCCCATGAACTGTAACACAACTTAATCCTACATTGACTCTAGGCCAACGCGTCCTACGAACCCACCTTGGCACCTTGTCGAGGGGAAGTCGTCTGCAGGACCGCCTCAACACAGTAGGTGCCTGATCCCTGAAGCGGTATAGCTGTGTACTCCGCCTCACTCAGCTGTTATAAGAAGGGTGAGATACTGCTTGATTCTTGCTTTATATTTTGTTGATTTTATTTTTCATTGTAACATAGTGAGTAATGTAGATATTAATGCGTTGGGTCTATGTAGTAAAGTAGTCATTAGTAGTTAGTAGTAATATAGCCAAAGTGGATGATGCTATTTGGTTCTTTGCCTTAATCAACCGTTTTTATTTCTCGAAAATACAGCCAAGAATAACCAATATGCTGTTTGTCTATTCATTATTATTTGAATAAATTTATTAATCAATTCAATTATTTACTTTTGTGGCTAGTTTTGCCTAGCGGCTGAATTCCTCTTCCTTAATTTTATATTACATATTTGAATGCTTATACTGAACTTTGCTGGCAGTTCTATTTTTTAATCAACAAGCATTACTGTTATAGGCCTACATGTACCATTCAGCGTCCTTATCATATGGGGGAAGGCTAGATCAGAAGCAACTCGAGGAGGTGTCATGGCGTCTGATTCTATTCAAAAAGCGAAAAAAAAAAAAAACATATTTGACGTCACAAAAGTTACGGATGCATTGTGAGTATGGTCGATCAATTTGGTCTTCAATTTTCGAAAAGGATGGAAAATAATGATTTGAATTATTATATTTTCATGGAACAATCATCAAAACAGACCCCATGACACCTCGAGTTGCCATTG